TATACTTTAGGGCTAACACTGTCACACGCATTGCATAAGGCAAGAGAGCTTACTACCTAGCTAGCTAAGTACACCTGCACCTGCAGCGCTGCAACTGAAAGCGTGTAGCCAACCTTCAGTAGACTTTCCATATTCACCGCTCGTCCAGGAGTGCACGAATTCTTATAACTGATTCGAGTGAAAGATTATCATCATCAATTTGGCAATAAAAGTGTCCATGCTTTTTTTTTTTTTTTTTTTTTCCAGCAGAGCAAGCTATCCGGCTAGTTTGTGGGTGCCGCCGTCATCAAAATAAACTCTGTGTTTTCTTCCAAAAAACAGAATCGCGTCTTTTATAACGTCATCGTAATCTGAAGTGATGACCTTCTCGAGTTGCTACATGATGTGGCAGACCGAAAATCTTCGCGGCGGATGTCATTCGATATCACGGCAGCTGGATCTTCTAGCTGGGCGTCATCAAAGGCAGAGCTGCAATCTCATATTGTGACTTTAAACCTTCAGCCCTACAACATACGCACCATGAATAGTATACTTTTTAGATGAATGAAGTTTATAGATTTAATGTAGCTTTTTCTTGAGTTACACATCGAAAACATTTTCTCTAAAGAGTTGCGGGTGCATTTTATGTTGAATGTTACAGTATTGGCTTGGTAATGTATTTATTGTATATTGTTTAAGCATGCAATAAACAAGAAAGTAACGCAGGGAATCTTGTAAGTCCCAGACTCTGATGCTACACATTGTAACTGTAATCCAATATTCATCCATTTATGATAGTGCATGGTTCAATTTTATTATTTAAATCCATTTTCTTTAACTTCTGTTAATAATATTCATCCATTTATGGTAGTGCATGGCCCAATTATTATTATTTATATCCGTTTTCTTTAACATCTGTTAATTAGAGAATGACAGAAATGCTGCTATGAAAAAACGGGCAGCTAATTACGGTTTACATTTACAGGGGACCGTCCCGGAAAATGGCCACCTTTCCCTACACTTTATATCATAAGAAAAAAATATCGGTTTGAGATAACTGATTGATTCTTTTTGCATGATATAGAGTATAGAATTGCGCTTCGTTTCATATATAATTTTAACCTTGCTCCCCCATAGGGTGGGGCACCCCCAAAAAGTCTTCGGTACATCCCAACTATCAGTTCTTTACTGATTATCCCCCCCAAAATACTTGTGTTTGATCAACCCTAGCCTAAAGCCATGTAAATAGCTGATTTTTTAATTTCCTTTTTTTTTTGGCGGGGGACAGCTTGACATAGAAAACTATTTTTGATTTTTGGCATTAAATTATTATTATTATTATTATTATTATTATTATATTATATATACTTTTTTTTTATTAAGTCAAATATTCAAAAATCGGCTATTTACATGGCCTTAGGACGCCGAGGCTCTAGTGAAAGCAACAAACTGCATTTGAATCGCATGAAAATTACGAGATTTGGGATGTACCGAAGGTTCAACAAAAAATAACAGAGCTACGGCGTTTTGTATTTGGCACCTTGCCAAAGTTCGTTATAATGACATTATATATATTAAAAAAATGATTATTTAGTGTAGTTTCCAATGCAATGATTACCAAGTCAATAGGAATTTTCATATTCAATAGGGACGCTATTCTGTAAAGGTATGTAATTTTTTTTTTTTTTTTTTTTTTTTGTTCGTTCATAAAAGTAGATATTTTCGTCTGAAAAGTTTAATAAATGCATTTTACCATAGAGACAACTAATCTGAACCAGATAAAAACTTTTTTATTTTTATTTTTTTCTTATTTTTCATTTCGTTTTTTTTATTATTTTTTATTTTGAAGAAATGGGGAACTGTCGATGGTAACATTAGTACAAAATCATTCTAATTATAAAGTCCTGGCATGAATATAACATGGTGGCTCAATTTTGAGAATTTTAAAAGCATATGAATTTAGTACATTGAATTCGAGAACTTACGAAAATCGTTGATATTTTCCCATGCTTCACACAGGGGAGGGGGGGGAGATGGTCACTGGGTGTTTATGATTTTCGAGGAGGATCACATATGTACGTGAACGCACGCACATAAAGTTAAAAAGAATCATCATCATTTAGTAGGCCTACGTTGACTTTCATATCTAAATAATAAAATATATTTTACCATTTTCTTCGATAACTGTCAATATTAACAGATTGCAGAGAACAAGTGTAGTTTATGATAAGCCATTTGCACCCATTATCTTTACTAAGAAGTGCATAAAATCAGGCAGACGCCTAGGTGTTGTGGGATATTTGCAAATTTAAGGTACCTAAGACTGCCGGTAACGTCTAAACATTCATTTTTATCGGGAAAGCACGAAACGGATGCGATAGCTTTTTGAGCGCCAGACGAAGACTACGCATACAACCGAGCTCAAAATTCCATATAGTTTTTATTTCAGAGCAGGTATTACTGAGTACTATCATCAATATGAAATAATCTGTATCTCGCTTATACACCCGAAGTTCAAAAATCTGACATATAGGTAACATTCGTATTGAATTGGTCTTTACAACGGTAACTACCAATTTCAAATCAATTCAAATTGCCCCATTCTTTGATGGACCGACCGTTGAGCGAAATGTAACGGAAATATTCAATCCTTACTTATAAGACTATTTTTAAACATTAGTGCATCGTATGTGATTTACGTACATATTACCTTGTAAACTAAAACATATTACCAGGGAGTCTCGATCTAAGCATATTTCGTGTGTAGCGAACACCTGCGATGGTTCGCGAGCCCACTCTGACACTCGTGGTGGAGCTGGCTGGGTTCCGAGGTTTGAGTGCTTAGCACATATAATATAAAAGATAAAAAAGAATCTTCACATTAAAAGAGTTTATTATATATATATATATATATATATATATATATATATATATATATATATATATATATAAACATTGGGCGCGATGCACAAAGCTTCACAAATAGTAATAAAAAAACGTACAAGACACAGATCCAGCCAGCTCCGAGGTCAGGATGAACTGCCGAAAACCCGCCAAAACCGTAGGCGGAAACTTCACCCCTCCCCTGAGCTGCTGGCTTTTAAACCATAAACTGCTTGTTTATGGTTCACAGCAATCGTTTAAAATGGGGTAAAACAAGACAAAAAAAAAAAATAATAATAAATAATAATAAAAATGAATAAATAGTAAGCATTGCTACTAGCGAGGTATAATTTAATAAAATAAAAACTAAATGGGCCTCAGGGTCCACTACAATCCCTCCCCCAGGGTAGAAGGTATAAAGAGATATTAAAAGAAATAAAAGATATCAAAAGATTACATAAAAGCTTGATGTACCTCGCAGGGAGCTTTTGCTTACCACACGACTTCGAGACGCTTGCACACACACACACACACACACGGAAATATATCGCTATGTTCATTCACTGGAAACACTCGATCACTGATACTATTACTAGAGCGCGTTATCACTGACACGATCACTAGACGTCACTGCTTCACGGACACGATCACTAGAAAGCACTGTATCACGATCACTCACTTCGATCACTCACTGTATCACTGATCACTACTCAGTGACTCGATCACTAGAAAGCACTGTATCACTGACTCGATCACTAGAAGGCACTGTATCAGTGACTCGATCACTAGAAAGCACTGTATCACTGACTCGATCACTTGATCACTGATCACTAGAAGCACTGCATCACTGACTCGATCACTAGAAGGCACTGCATCACTGACTCGATCACTAGAAGGCACTGCATCACTGACTCGATCACTAGAAGCACTGCATCATGATCACTAGAAGGCTGCATCACTGACTCGATCACTAGAAGGCACTGCATCACTGACTCGATCACTCACTGCATCACTGACTCATCACTAGAAGGCACTGCATCACTGACTCGATCACTAGAAGGCACTGCATCACTGACTCGATCACTAGAAGGCACTGACTGACTCGATCACTAGAAGGCACTGCATCACTGACTCGATCACTAGAAGGCACTGCATCACTGACTCGATCACTAGAAGGCACTGCATCACTGACTCGATCACTAGAAGGCACTGTATGACTCGATCACTAGAAGGCACTGTATCACTGACTCGATCACTAGAAGGCACTGTATCTGACTCGATCACTAGAAGGCACTGTATTCGATCACTCACTATCACTGACTCGATCACTAGAAGGCACTATCACTGACTCGATCACTAGAAGGCACTGTATCACAGACAACGATTACTAGACAGTACTTTCACTGGTTAACTCGTCGATAAGTGTCACAACAGATGAACTGGCCACGACTGGTACGGGTCGAGGAAGCTGGTCCGCCTCTTCTGCAAAGTCCAGCTCAGAGGGTGGAAGGTAGGGTTTCAGCTAGTTGGCATGCACCCTAGGGTAGGGTTCTTGAAGGTCGATCACATCAGATGTCACAGGTCCCAGCTGTCTCACAATACGACCTGGTCCCAACCAACAATCACCCAGAGGCCTTCTGGTACCTTCGACTTTCCAAACCACAAGAGAACCTTGTTCAAAAGTTGGAGTGGCCTTTGCTCTTTGGTCGTAATAAGCCTTGTTGGTTTCATGTGTCTTCAGGCTTACTTCGACAGCCAGACGACGTGCATCTGACAAGCGCTTCACCATGAGTCCCTCGTCTGAAGTCTGGTCGTTTGTAGGCCCCTTGGCAAACAGAGCCATTCTGCCTGTCAGTAGGTAGAGAGGTTGGTCTCCAACAGAGTGGTGAATAGCCGTATTTAGGGCAAGGCGGACAGCAGGCAGATGTATGGGCCACTGAGATGGTGCATGCTGAACCAGTGCTACCAGTGCATCTTTCACAGCACTGTTGCTACGCTCTACCACTCCATTGGACTGGGGTGGTAGGCCACAGAGAACGAGTGTTTCACATGTAGAGTCTCCAAAAGAGAGCGCCATTCATTTGATGAAAATTCAAGGCCATTATCAGTATGCAACTGGTCTGGAGGGCCAAATAAAGTTATGTAGTTATCCATGAAAGCTGACAAAACTCTTTCAGCTGTCTTGTCACGAAGAAGGACCAGCTGCAAAAAGCGGGTGTGGTGACGATAATGGATAAAACATACTGGTAGCCTCTGGAAGAACTTCTCAGATCCATGAGGTCTGCTGAAACCATCACTAGAGGGGCCTCTGGTGGTAGATGGCCTTGCATGGGAACACGAACAGCAGAACCCTTCCGGCGTTGACACACTGGGCATCTAGCTACATACTCCCTCGACTGGAGAAGCATGTTAGGGAAATACCAGGAATTGCACAGATTCTGGTATGTCTGCAAGGCTCCTGGATGTGTGGCAGAAGGTGGACAGTGGGCAAGATGCAAAGCCTGTGTCTGGAGATGCAGAGGAACATACAGCTGCTTCACTGCTCTATCAGAATATTCTCTTAGGTGATACAAGACTCCATCTTCTACTTCGAAGCTGGAGATGATTGCAGGTGGACGCTGTTGAGGTAAGGCTTGGTGTCCCTCCAGCCAGCTGATGAGGTCGTTGCAAGTTGGATCTCGTATTTGTTGCTCCCTCATTTTTCTAGGGTCCATGGTGGTGAGATCTGGGTCATCCTCAGGCTGGTCTGGAGGATTAGGTTCTGGCTCAGGTTCATGATGTTCAAGCTGATCTGGAGGCTCAGGTTCTGGCTCAGGATCATGTTCAGGATAGTCTGGAAGCTCAGGTTCTGGCTCAGGATCATGATGTTCAAGCTGGTCTGGAGGCTTAGGCTCGGGATCAGGATCAGGATGATCAATTGGACAGATTTCCATATGTGGGATCGGTTCACCTGCCAGTCTCGAGGGAAGGTCAGGGACGAGGTTACTGGGCCCCTGCTTGTACCGCAGAGCAAAGTCGTATTCCCCAAGCTCATGTGCATAACGACTCAGCCTGTTGCTCTTTGTTCGGCGTGAGAAGACATGGGTTAGAGGCTGGTGATCTGTCCATATAGTAAAATGCCGACCATAGATGTACGGATCAAACACACGGACAGCTTCCACGACAGCAAGGGCCTCCAGGTCTATCGTTGGATAACGTGTCTCAGCCTCCTTTAGCACCCGTGACCAATAGGCAATGGCATAGGGCACCCCTTCAGCATCTCGTTGGAGGAGGGCAGCTCCAAGGGCCTGGAGACTAGCATCTGAATGAACCTCAAAGGGCTGGCTGAAGTCTGGGAGACGTAAAATAGGGGCCCTCACTAAGGCCTTCTTCAAGGTGTCAAATGCCGTCGGTGTTACTCCCCACTCAAACTTTACACCTTTCTTCGTTAGTCTTGTCAAGGGTCGGGCGATGGTGGCAAAGCCTTCAATGTGACGCCTGAAAAAGCCACATGCCCCAAGGAATCGTCGTATGTCCTGAACAGGACGTATACCATCCCTACCGATTAAAAAGCCGAGAAGCTTCACCTGATGCTTAGCGAACTCACATTTCTCAAGATTCAATTTCATCCTTGCTCCTTCTAAAAGCCCCAGTGTCTCTTGCAAGTCCTATAGGTGGCCATCAAAGGACGATGACACTATGACCACATCAAGGTAGGCAAGAGTGTGGTGCCCTAACACTGAAGCAAGCAAGATGTTCATGGTCCGCTGGAATGTTGTGGGTGCAGTGGATAGTCCAAAGGGTAGGCGGCAGAACTGGAATAATCTTTTACCATCCGTGAAGGTGGTTTTGGGACGGTCATCAGGGTGGACTGAGATCGCCCAATATGCCGATCTACTATCCAGGACTGTGAACCATATCCAGCCAGATAATGAGTCCAGGATGTCATCGACTCGAGGGAGTGGATAGGTGTCAGGGGTGGTCACCTTATTGACTGCCCTGTAGTCAACACAGAAACGGTGCGAGCCATCCCTCTTGTGGACGAGGACTACAGGGGATAACATAGGAGATGAATGTTCAATCACCCCCTGGGCCAGCATTTGGTCACATTCTGCCCTGATGACTTCTTTTGTGACTTGGGGAAGTCTCCATTGCCTTACATAGACAGGGTCACTGGTTGTCGACTCTATACGGTGCTGCACCCCAGGTACGGCTCCAACTGTGAACTTGTCCCCAGAGAAGAGGCCTGGGAAGTTGTTCAGCATAGTGGTTAGCTGAGCTACCTGGTCAGCAGTGAGGTGGTCGAGCGGCAACTGGGTCCAAGCTGGTTGGTTAGTAACAGTATCTCCTCCTGCAGAAGCCATTCTAGATGTATCCTGCTGGTGTGCCTTATCCAAAGCTGGCGTGTCTGGGAACACAAAGAATTCACTGTCCTGGTACCCGAAATCTAGGCAAGCATCAAAGTTGTCAAACTCATCGTCTAGGAACTCGCCCTCAGATGGACTGTCATTATCACCTAGAGGGTCAACATCTAAGGTAGATGACGGGTTTTGCCTAAACCCAGAATCAGGATCGGATAAGGTATGGACTTAAGCATTGACACTTGAAGGCGTGGTGTTGAGGACTGCTACATCCCCTCCAACAGGTGTTATTTCGTCTGGTTCCAGGAACTCTGCATACCCAATGACGGTGCCAGGACTCACCTTCCTGGGCTTGGGGTATGGGTTCACTACCCATACACTAGATCGCCGATCGTGAACGGCGACAAGGGTACGTGGTACTGTTAGGCGACTGGTGCTACCTTCAACTAGAGCGAGGTGGGCGTTGGTAGGGACAAAGCGAGATACAGTGGCAGACAGAAATCGTCCAGATCGGGGTTCCACAACAGCGGTTTCTGCTACATGCACAGGGGAGATGCACCTTAGATGGCTGAAAAGTAGAGGCTTCTGTTCGACTCTCCTCTATTTCATGGCATGCTGGAGTGTGTAGTGGGGCAGATGATTCCAGCCTTGTAAAGCAAACATCACAACGGTGGCCACTGAGCTCCACATAGTTACCAAGGGGCTCAGCACTGAAGCACAAACAGAAAGCGAGTTGCTGGAGCAGTTCCATTCCAAGCAGATCACCGGTGAAATTGAGGCCATTGACAACACAGGTTCGGTGAATGACGTCTGACCTTGGATGAATGGTAAAAATGAGATCCGCTTCAGCTGTCACAGCCTTGGGCAAGCCTGTAACACCCTGCAATGTTCTTGAGCTGTCTTGCATGGGGATTCCTGGGAGTAGTGCAGCAACTGTATCTTTTACCATGGTCATTTCAGATACCCTGTGTCGACAAAACAAGCGAGAGGCTTACCGTTGATGGTCAGAGTGATCATTGGCCTGCCCCCCGACTTCTGCTGAACATGCTTGTCCAGGGGTTCCTTCGCCGCCCATTGGCCGGGACCCTTGCCCCGGACGGCACTGACCAAAGGGACACATTGCGACAAAGTGTCCTGGCTCTCCACAGCCAAAACACCGTCATTGGCTTGCACGGCACTCTGAAGTGTTGTGGCTCTCCACACGATGGTATTCGCACCAATGACGATTGCGAGGAATACTGCGACGGCAAGGTGAGGACAATGGCTGAGGCAGGCCGTGGGTTGTTTCTGGGCGTACCTGCTGGAGCACAGACCGAGTCGAGTTGGTCAGGTTGGACGCAGGTGTCCCTAGGACTGGAGCCACTTGGAGAGGGCCATCACTGTAATACTCCAAGGCTGGCACATCTTCGGCAGTGAGGCGACCAGGAGCATGCAGGCCCAAAGCCATGGGTGCACTTTGTGTTGCACTAGAGGGCCCTGAGTACAGGGAGTGCCCAGCCCGTGGATAGCTGAAGATGGAAGGCAGGACGTGTTTCACTCCCACTGTTGTATCCCAGGCTGCTTGGCACTTTTCAGCCATCCTTCTAGTCGTTGGGAAGTCCAGAAGTACCAACTGTCATCGCAATCAGCCTGGCAGTCCAGCAGTGAAAGTCCTCACTAAGCCCTCCATATCCCCGATGTCATGAGGATAGTCACGGGCTCCCTGCATTACGGCCATTTCGACAACCTGATAGAAGTCCAAGGGCGCCTGGCCGGGTACCATGCGGGCCTGAGCCAGCATTTCGAAAAAATGATAGGACGTACTGGCACCTCTGAACTTTGCCCACAGTCTGGCCTTGAACTCGTGCCACTGTGTCACTCCCTCAAACAGTGGTCCTAAGAGTACCATTTGGGCATATCCCCGTGACCTGCCCCAGGCCATGCGAATGAATGCGTCATCAGTGGCAGGGCGAGTCAGGAGCTCGATGCTGGCAATCCATGACTTGATCTCTTAATAGCGCTGCAGGCCAAGGGACGCAGGAGTCTCTCCATAAAACACTGGTATTTCGTCACGGCCACTAGAGAAGGAGGGAGGAGCAGAAACACCAGTAGCTGGGTAGTTGTGAGTTAGGGGCTGCAGAAGAGGTGGTGTTGACAACATACCGGATGTAGGAGCTCTGGCAACTAGAGGCGGTTGAGAGGTCTGCTGCAGAGGTGTGCTATGTACTTCAGTGTTGACCAGGACAGGGCGCAACGGGTCGGAAACACCCATGGACAAGGCACCACCTTGCCCGAGTACTCTTGGTTGTGATGCTTGGGTGGGTTGGTTGGAGCCAACTTCGGCTTCCAACTCTGCAATGCGGGATAACGCATGCTGCAGCTGTGCAGAAGTACGTTCAAGCTGGGCAAGCACCCCGGATAAAGACTGCGCACCTGCTGCTACTTTATCCTGGCGCTCTGGTTGGCTGCCTGCATCTGGCCCAGGCATAGATACTTCCTGCAGATCAGGCCTGGAACTCGGACCCTGTGTTGGTGATCGCTCCAGGGGGATAGAGGCACTTGATCCTTGCTGGGAGGGTTTGAGCTTGCCCATCCTTTTGACAGTCCTGAATATCGCCCGTCGGGTAGTGCGGTTGAGAGGCTGAGAGGTGGGACGACAAGGAGTCCTGCTGCGTAGGTTGTATGCCGGCTGGGAGTGATCGCCGACGTCACCACACAAGAGAAGGGCTGTGCAGGCTGGCGGCGACACCTTGGACAACTCACGGACGCGTTACTAAATTACACACGCGCGCACAGCCACACTCGAGGTCGTGCACGGATTTCGACCAGGACAAGCATCAGAATCTGCGGACAATAACAATATAATTTTCCGTCACAGATTACTGACAATAAAAAACTATTCAGCCAAATAAAATTAAATTGGCTAAAAATCCCGACTGGAGAAAGTACAAGTAACAATCCTGGCAGATTATATTAAAACAAACAAAAATAATGACAAACGAGAGTAAAATTACAGCTTTAATACATATAAAAGGGAGGTAAAAATATAAATAAAGGTAATTGTTGAAGACCGCGACGCACACTCGCAGAGACTAAGTCGAAAAAAAAATGATGTTTTTCTGCATGAAATCCTATGATTTCTTCGATTCGTTGTTTCTTTTGCGAATGAATCGTTCAGGAGATCGAGTACCATTTCTCCATCGACGATCTTGATTTGATAGTCCCGTTAGCAGGGGAGGGCATGAAGTATATCAGGGAAATTATGGGGTAAAACAAGCTTAAATAAGAAGAATAACGATCAAAAATGCGTAAAACTAGCACAAAAAGCGCTTAAAATCAGCCAATGAAACTCTACGGATGTAAGCGCCATCTTTGAAAGTTTACGGACTGACAGTACACTCCGTGACCTCACACGAAGAGGTCGTGTGGTGCCCTGCTCCGGTGCCCTCGCCCCTTACACATGGATCTCTGGTGTCATGTACGAGGAAATTGTTCATGAATGTTTAGGTGCGCATATACCTCGCAATTGAAACGTCATGAGAGTAGTGATATGAACATGGTTATGCTTTAAATTCAATTGAATTCATTCCTCCGCCGAGTGCCAAGTACTGTGTTAGTGACCGTTGGAGCTGAGTGCCCCGTTGTCCCGAGCGCCATAATTCACCTGTCACGAGGCGGGCGAGCCAGGCGCGCCAGGCGCCGCGGTCACCACCCCCACGATGGGGGAAAACCGCAAAGTAAACACTGAGGGAAGACTCGCGGATAGCTGTCCCACCCCTCCCCCGGCTGAAGAGTGCGCTTCAGCCTGTAATTCAGTGGACAGGACCGCTGAACCCATCGCCATGCAAGAGGCACAAAATGATTGGTGATGCCCAGGTGGGTGACGCCGCTGCTGACCAAGGAGGTGACGGCTTCACGTTAGTGGGCCAGAAAAAAGAAAGAAAAGAGAGCCCACTAACGCCAGCAAGACGCCACTCGCACCGAGGAAAGACTACGTCCGTCTCGCCTTCCCTGAAGGCACCACGAAAAAAGAAAAAATGAAATGGCTACAGGACCTTGGCAACCCCTCTTCGAACCTGAGGGGTAAACCCATTGACCTTGTGAGAGGGGACACGCTCTCCTCGCCATATATCTATGTCGCTCGCTCCCAGCATAGCTATATAGAAAACCTTACCGGGGGACTTGTTGGAGGTATTACCTTCAAATCATGCGATGAAAAGAAGAAATCGGAAAAATATGACGAATACCTCGTACACATTATAACAAGGACCTTGACCTTGACAATGCAT